TGTGAAAGTTAAACACAGCTTAACTGTGTTATCTTTAGAATACAGACTTCACATGGAGCTTGTCTGCAGTGATCTTTTAACTTTCATTCCCAGCTACTCCCAGTAGAGATGCATTTATGAGCTGCATCAAAAGAAGCATCACCACTTTCTTTCTACACCCTGGAAAGAAAAACAATTACATTACTTTGCCAGTGCAGCCAGGCAGACACCTTGGTTGTCCCTACCAAATGTGCAAGGCACCAACTTGTGTTTCCCAAAAGGCTGAGGCAATGGTATGTCATCTCCTCCTAATAAACACTGCTCCTTTGAGTAAGTTCTGAATCTGGGAGACAGACTAACCAGTTCAATGTACTTGCTACTTTTAAATCTCCTGATATGACTATTTACTGATAGAAAAAAATATGTATGTGACAGCTGAGAAACTGAATTATTTCCCCCAACTTATGTAGTATTGAAATATGGACTCAAATTTTTTCTAGTAGTGCTAAAGACTTAAAATTGGGTTGGGATTTTTTTTGTTTTGGATTTTTTTGGGTTTTTTTTGTTGTTGTTTTGGTTGGGTTGTTTTGTTTTGTTTTTGTTTTGGTGGGTTTGGTTTTGGGGGTTTTTTTGTTGGGTTTTTGGGGGGTTTTTTTGTTGGTTTTTTTTTTTGTATTGACTGTATATTTCAAAGGACATTTGTCAGAATGGTCAGATGCAAATATTTTGAGGTATTTCCTGAGCCAGTGTAACTGTTAACAGAGATCCCTGAAAAAGACTGATTATGAAGTAGAATGAGTGAGCACCCAGTGTTGGACCTCTGCAATGTGATCTGAGGTAGGTCCAAAAACTGACCAGAGGTGAAAACACAATTCTTGCTGGGATACAACATCTATTCCTTCAAGCCTGTCCCGCTTAAAGTCTCTCTTCTTCTTCCACTTAACTGAGCTGGGAGATAAAATCACTGTAATGGAGTCCCATATTTTCAGCATGTTTCTAACCCAGCTCTGAGTCCCTCAGCAAGCACTGCTTGGTGTGGGTGGGCAGTAGGACCTAGAGCTGGCTGCTGGGCATAACTGGGTATGGTCACCATGGGCAGCAGCCCAGGGCTCTCATGCACAGCCAGCAGTGAGTGGGGCTGCAGGGACACGTGGTAGCCCCTGTCTGGTGGCCAGTCTGCCTTCCTGTGGCACAGCAGAGGTGTCCAGGCAGGAGGCAAAGTGAAACCATCTGGCCCAGGAGCTTTTTCCCCTTTAATGCTTTTACATGCCAGGATGATTTTGTCCGCTTGGCTGCAATAACTTGCAGCGATGGGAGGGAAATCCTGAGGTAAATTAGTTGTGATAAGGGGCTGGTCTGAGCTGTGTGGGCCTTGGCACAACCCAAACCCCCTTTTGGTAGATATGCTGCTGCCTGGGGCACAATTCACCTAGAATGACTGTCTGAGTTCCCAGGAGCTGCTGGGCTTGAGCAGCTTGCCAGCAACTTGCTGACTTTTTGCCCCATTCCAGAAGCTCTGTTTTGGCCCAGCTAGGCTGAACCCAGCCTGAGCTGAATGCAGCTTCTTCAAGTCAGTCTACCACCAGGAAAAAGAGAAGGCAAGAGAACAGCAACAGGACACAATTAGCCTCTTCCTTCCTTCTCATAACACTTTCTACATGCTCAACTGCTTTGGGAAGACACAAAAAAATAAGGTAACATTTTTCCCCCCATACAGACCTTGGACACCCCCCAAAGTCTCAGTCTGCAAGATTCTCAAGATCTATTTGTTTCAAAGATCAGGTCCACACCTCTCTACAGAGATATCTTGAACTAGGGATCTGATAAAAATTAGGGTTTAAATACCTCATCAGGTGAGTTGCTATGCCAAGAATTAAAGATGTGATCAGAAAGAATTTTATTAAATAGTAAAATGCATTTACAGAAGTAACTGGCTTCAAGGTCAGATGAAGCTGGACTGGTCGCTTGTGTTTGGCTTCACCTCTAAGTGATTTCACTTAATTGGGCAATTGTTCCCTAAGTCCCTGGTGACACTCACATTTCGGTCCTGAACCTTCTGCAGGAGAAAAGATGGAACAGATTCTTCAGTGTTAAACTTTGCATAGTTTTAAATGAGCCAGATGAACCTATTTCTGTGTTGTACAACAGTCTCTGGTAATTTCCATTATTTATGAACACATTTCCCCGAAAACTTTCTCTCCAGGGATAGGATGTGAAATGCCTATTTAAACAATAGAGAAAAGGGACTTTCTAAACAAAATAATGAAACTGGCAATATACCAAGAACTCTACATTAACACAACCAAAAATACTTCTAAAGTGCTTTAAAGGTCATTTTTTTCTGTTGTTATTACACAGGTGATGTATTTTTCAGACAAAAAATGTTTTTTTCTTTTACAGCACTGAGCTCTTTTTATTGCAAAATACCATTTTCACATATGATTTTCAAAAACAGCATAGAGGCATTTTCCCACTTTATTTTTTTTTTGGTCTTTTAAAGTCACATAGTATGTTTGGCTTGTTTCCTAATGAGAAATGAAAATAAACTCATTAGATTTGAAAAAGGTGCAGAGTTCTCACGGGCTTTTTAAACCCAGACAGCTTCAACAGAAGGTATCTCCAGCCAGGCAAGTGCAGAAATGAAGCACTCACTGTTACAACCATCCTCTCGGGGTGACTTCGGGGAAGTGACTCTGAAAGTCCCTATTCAATGCTCATTAAAATTCCAGGTCCAGTTTCATTCTCATTTATATTTGGGGAAACTAAATTAAATACAAAACATTAAAGCAATTTCTCCTTTGTAGAAAAGGTACCATCCCCTACCACCCTTTTTCCTCGAAGAACAGGCTTGGCATATAACTCTATATTTACTGAAGAATCCAAATATGACAGGGGAGCAATTTTGGTTCCAAAAGTAACCACTTTAATTTCCTCAATCATCAAAGCTTTTTATGCATGTGAGCCTTACCATGGGCTTTTACAGGAAAAAAGATCTTGCCCAGCAGAATACCCCTCACCGTTAAAAGATAAGATTTTTAACTGCTGAAGTCATTAGGATGACTCAGATGTTTTAAATGCAGATCTATGCTTAATGATTTTGCTAATTGTAGGTCAAATTGCATAATGCTTTGGAGCATTGAGCCAATGTTACACAAAGCATAAGTTAGTGAGGTTTTTTGCCAGATAAGATGTGGTATATTTTGTCAGGTCCAAGTCTGCATTTGCTCAACATGATTACATGCAAGCAGCATTTATTCAGCTCATGCAACAAATGAGACAAGACCCGTTTGTGCTTTTTGAGCTTATATATATATATATATATATATATATATATATAGTTGAATTTTGAACTTTGAAGTGGAAGGGTATAACAGCAAATGCATGTAATCAGTCTGCAAGTGCAATGCAGAAATGCTGTTTAACATGTGGAATAAAGAGCTCAGGATGTTCATAAAGATCCTCTATCAACTTGTGAACCTAACATGAAAGGGATGTGGCAAGTATTAAGTTATCTAGCTTGGACAGCAGATTCAGGAAACAAGGTAGAGCATTGACCACAAACCCACAAGATGTTTTGACAAGAGACTTAGCAAAGATTTGCCATGAGTTGCAAAAGGAGAAAATCTCATTTCTGTGTCTGATAGAAATATAATCTAACATTGTATACAACTTTGTAGACAAACATTTAAACAAAAGATTCTGCGGGAGGAGAGAATTAAAGAGGTCCACATTTATCCTTAAAATTAAAATATGAAACTAAAGTAAATGTTGTTCAGAACTCTCACTCTTGGTAGCAAGTGTTACAGAAAACACCTCAGACAGATCACAGCAGACATAAATGGTGTTTTAAAGGAAGCACAGCAAGCCTTTATGAAATTGCATAGAGATTAAAATAATGAGACAATCTGTATAGACAGATGATTAGTTCAGAAATTGAAGTGCAAGAAGGGTAAAGTAACAATAACTTCTACCACTCCATCTTGGAGAAGGAGATCCTTCCAACGCCTTTTGGCAAGAAAGGGAATGGCCGAATTCTGACCATTGTGAATATGAGGGAGGCCCAGAACAACGACCCGTGGGGCTGTCCACTGGACCTCAGACTCTGCTGGAGTCAGAATCAGATTTTGGCAGGAAAACAAGAGTTTCTGATGACACAGCAACACCCAGCTTTCTTGGGTTTTTTAAAAGCTGTTTCAGACAAAAAAAAAAAAAAAAAAAAAAAAAAAAAAAAAAAAAAGTAGAGTAGTCAGTAATTCATTAGAGGATGGCAATACATGAGTGAGAAAAAGAGCTAAGGTGTAAAACTTTATGAGCAGAGAGGTTTTTGCTGACAGTACAGGTAGAGATAGGTAAGGCAGAGCAGGCTGGTAGCGATAAGAGCCGCACACAGCCCAAGGTGCGAGGCCACAGCCGCACCGGAGCCGGTGCCGAGCGGCTCCGGGAACAAACCCCGGCGGGGCCCGGGCAGCGAGGGCAGCACGGGCTGCTCCTGTACCCACAGGGGACTCCGGGGCAGGGTGTCACGGCAGCCCATCACTGCAGCAGCCCCAGAGACGCTGCCGGGGGCTCCGGGCGAGCGGGCAGGGCCGGGGCAGCCTCCCCGTGCCCCAGCGCTCGGCACCGGCCCGGCAGCACAGGCTGTTCCTGGCGGCAGGGCACCCCCGAGCCCCCGGTGACACGCGGGGACACGGGACGGGCTGAGGCTACAGCGGGCGAGCGGCACCGCCAGCGCCCGCGCACCTCCCGCCCGCCAGCCGCGCTCTGCAGCGGGCTCGGGCAGGTCCGTGCCCGGCCACAGCGCCGGCTGCGGGGGAGCAGCCTCACTCCGCTCCGCTTTGCTCGGTTCGGCCCGGCCCGGCTCCGCCCGTCGGGGCCGCGCTGCTGACTCAGCCGCGGGGGGGCCCGGAGGGCGCCCCGGCCCCGCGGGCGTGGCGGGCGGGGGGTGCTGCCCTCCCTCCGCCCTCCGGGAGATAAAGAGCGGCGGCCGCAGCCCGCCCGCGCCTCTCGGCGCCGCCGGCAGCATGACGGCCATCGGGGCGCAGGTACGTCCGCCGCTCTCCCGCCGCGGGGCTGCTGCCGCAGCCCGGCCCTGCGCGGCCGGGGTCGCTCCCACCCTGCCCGGAGTAACGGGGCGCAGCCGGCCCGGTTCCCTTTCCCGCCTTCTCCGGCCGGCGGCAGCTCCCCGGGGCCGCGGCTCCCCCTCCCCGCTGCACGTGGCTCTCCGAGGGGGCTGGGGGCTCTTGGCTCGACTTTCCATCACATCTCGGGTGACTTGGAGGGTGTCGGTCAGGAGGGGAAGTGCGCTGCCCAGGCGGCTCCGCGGGGGCTGCAGCCGAAGATTCCCCCCTCTCCCCCCCAACTCCCGGGGTAGCTGAGCCGTGAGACCCCGGGTGAGGACCGAGGTCCGGGCCGCTGCTGCTGCCGGCCGGAGGAGGAGAGACCGGCTGCTTGCAGCTCAGGAGGGCAGTGCTGGGAACTAGGAGCCCCCCCCAGCCCGCTGCTGCCTCCTCCCCCGTCCCAGCCACCGGCCTCCATCCTCTCAGGGGCTGGTGGCTTCCTCCAGCCCTGCCACAGCAGGAGGCTGTGCCGCGAGACCGTGGGGCAGGGACCTGGTTCAGCCAAGAGCTTTTGTGATCCCGGTCTTGACGTGGGAGCATTGTTTGTGCAGCCAGGGAACTGGGAGAGCTTCACCCACCCTTCCTTTCTCCTGTGTACAGCCTTCCCCTGCGAGAAGGAGTTTGATGTGCACAAGTAAATATTTTCAAATGCTGAATCCCACAGCTTTGTCCCTTTGGCTTCATTTCACCCCGAAGTAGTACTGTTAACTCTGTTACATTTTTTTCCTCACGCTCTCCTTTCAGGTGCAGCAGCTGCTGGCACACCGGAGACCACAGAAATCCTTCTTTGAGACGCTCATCAGGAGCCTGATCATCCTGTGCGCGGCCATAGCCGTGGTCTTGTCGTCCATCTCCATCTGCGATGGCCGCTGGCTCTTTGCGAGGGGGCAGCTCTTCGGACTGTGGCACTTCTGCACCCTTGGCAACAACAGTGTCCTGAAGTGTGTCACAGACCTCAGGCTGGCCCAGGTGGAGGGGCTCAGCGTGGGGGTGATTCCCATCAGGAGCATGGTGTCCTTTGCTGTTGTGGTTGCCATATTTGGGTTGGAGCTGCTGATGGTGTCCCAAGTCTGTGATGATGCCAATGCAAGGCGGAAATGGGCAATGGGTTCCGTTCTCATCCTCGTCTCCTTTTTGCTGTCAGCCACCGGTGTTCTGAGCTTCTCCATCCTGGTGAAGGATCACCTCACCTTCACAGGCTTCACGCTGACATACTGGTGTGAGTTCATTGCTGCCTTCCTCTTCTTCCTTAACGGAATCAGCGGACTTCACATCAACAGCCTCACACACCTCAGGAATGGAGTAGGCAAAATCTAGGTACAAAGGATGTACCTCTGCCTTTGTGTAATCAGCTTTGCCAATTAGACTGGAAGAAAGAGAGTCTAATGAAGTTTGAAACGGATGCCCTGTCTTAATTTGTGTGCAAGGAGGGGAAGTGTGAGTCAGTCTTGATGCCTGTAGAAGATGTACCCACCCTCTGGTCAGCGTGGAGAGCTGAGCAGCACCAGCCAAGCAGAGACTGGGACTGGCTGCTCCTGCAGTATGGTTTTCTGGAGAAGTGGATCAAAGCAGACAATGTGCTGCTAAACATGCAGAGACCTGGAAGACTGCACTCTATCCCACATGTTGACCTGAGGCTTGCACAACACCGGTACTGCTGTACTTTTCCTCATATTCTGGAGCCTGTGAAGAGTGTGATACAGCTTTGGTGTGTCTCATGGGTTTGTTTTGCCTCAGGGACAGATGATTTCTGCCTGGCCATGCTCACTGGTGTGGAGCACTGAAACTCTTTACTGGATCTTACTTCTTCATTTTTCTTTCAATAGAGAAGGCACACAGAACTTGATCTGGTCACAGGTTTTGTTTCCTTCAGGCACGTTCCCTTTATCTGTTCTGTTCTTGGTCAGTTTTTTTGGGGACACTTCAGACAGAGTTGCTGACCTGGGGCCAGGGGTAGGTGTTGGGTGATGCAGGTGTAGAGGGAAGGGATGTGCTGCTTTCCTCAGGCAGCAGTGCATGTCCCTGTGTTTGTGTCACCACTCTCCTGTCACCCCTGAAGGACGTGTGTCAACTGGTCAACCAAACCGACTGTCTCACAACCCTTGCACAGTTTACGGTAACAGGGCATTGCTCTTGGGTTTTTTGGGGCAAGAGGGACAAGCTCTGCAGAGGCTTCATGGGCTGTTGTGGCTGGCACACCATGCAGAGACCACTTCAGCTTCTGAGATGTGTTTTGGTTATCACAGTTTCCAGTGCTTATCCTGTAGCTGAGCCTCCTGTCGCATTTCTTGTGGGAGGAGAAAGCCCTAGATCCTCCTGACCAGATCAGGTCCTTTTCTGACTAACAGTGAGCCTGGGAGGAGAAGCAGCCCGTGATTGCCTAAGGAGGGGCTGATGGGTGCAGCTCTAATCTGTCACCACTGGTAGAAATGTTGAGAGACCTGGCCAAAATTATTGTACTAAGGCTGGCCTTCCTCCTGCCAATGTCTGAGTCAAGATCTCTAAAATTGCTACAGCTTTGAAGTTCTCCATGGTGTCTTATGTAAAAGGAGAGAAGACCTCATTTGTAGAGTAGATTGCCCTACATGTGTTCTCCCTGTCCAACACACAGCACTCAGTTGCTCACAGTTAAAAATGTCTTCAGAGTATTTCAGGGTTTCTGGTTTACTGTTTGCTTTGTATCCACTGGTGAAGCTGCTTATATCCTTGTTTTAGAACAAATGTTTCTACATGTTTCATCCCTGTACCTTGTCTGTTGAGCAAGGTTTTAGTTTCCTGTGCAACAAGTTTGACACAGTTTTTCACCTGAAACAAATGCATCATAGCACAGAGGTCAAAAAGCCTGTGTACGTGAGCCATGAGTAAACAGCTTTGTCTTTGAAAGCTAAGAATCTTAAGCTGTGCCTGAGCTGGAATGTACCACACTTTGATGAATGTGCTCCTGTGCTTGCTTTCAGGACAGTCTCCATTCCTCCTTGGACTTCTGTAACTTCTTAAGACAACACTCCTAAGCCCATTTTGCAATGCAGGTTCAGACTTGGCTTGCTCTGGACAGTGCCAGCTGTACTTTTGCAGATCAATCTGCTCATCTTTCTGTCAGCATGATGCAGAGCTGTGCTACCCAGACAGCTCCCAAAGCTCTTGTGAGGTTTGGGGCTTTGATTTGGTTTCTTGGCCCATTCTCAAGGACAAGGACTTGTGCCTGTGTCTCTGGAAAACCTCACTGTGACTGTGTCTGTGTGTGAATGTGCCTTTGACTTGCTGAATGGCACTGTTGAAGACATTCTGCTGGGCTGAACTTGCACCTGCTTGTGTGAGCTGGTGCTGTTGGCTTTAGCAGAGCCATTTAGGCCAAAGAGACCCTGCAAGTTCTGGTCCCAAACTGTTGCACTTTGGTGTTACCAGGTGTACCAGGAGTACCTTAACTAACCAATGATTCAGCTGTGGTTCCTGGGGGTGCCCATGTCAGGCAGGACAGTTCCCCTACGTGTAAGGGTGTTTATGGCTTGTCTAGAAACACGAGTGTAACTTCAGAGTGACACTTTGGTGACATCCAGACTTGGAAATCACTTCTGAGTGTACATTTCCTCATGCTAGCAGGAGGCTGTGCCTCCATCCCTTTCCTTGGAAGGCAGCCACAGCCAGACTGGCTTCCAGGCTGGTGCCTCCTGCTCGGGTTAGACGGAGACTGGACAATTGGCCATTGAGTTCAGCCTAGACATGGTGCAATTGTGAATGATTTTTAGGATGCCCTCTGCCAGCTGAAGAAGAGGCCTTTTGTTGGGGGTAGGGAATCCTCTGGGGAAAATGGAGTAACTTTTTTTTCCAACTGTTTTTTTGTATAGTACTGCTCAATACAAAACAGAGTTGATTGTCTTGGAGATTCTTATATAGAGCAACCTGTGCAGCAGTGGGTCACTGTTCATTTTCTGAAGCGTTTAGAAGTGTCAAGCAATATTCCTGGAGTTTGTTAAATAAACTGGTTTGAAATAAGTGCTGTAATTCACTCTTTTAATCTTTCAATATTGGGATGCAGATTTAAGGGGATGAGGGAGGTTTTACATAATCTCCCAGGCACCATTCTATGTGTTTGCCCAGCTAAACTGATGAAGAAATGACTGCTTGGTGCTCTGCCAAGCTCTGACCAAGGGAACTGAGGCCACTGCACACTCCCCTCTCCTTTTCCCTCCCGAGTGTCTGCACCAGCCCAAGAAGCCAGCACTGCTTTCTTGTCCTGCAAAACAAGAAGGGCAGTCAGCTGTGTTTCTTCGTGGGAATTTGAGATAACCTTGTAGGCGCTTTAATGACTTCCTGCTGTTGCATGTGCTCTGTTTACCAGCTAAAGAGCTCTTTCCTGTGTCCTTCACCTTCCTGTTCCCACACTGCACCCCGTGTCTGAAGCATCCTTGCTCTTTTCCTCAGCTCTGATTGTTTGGCCTGCAAGGAGTGGTATCTGAGTATACAAATGTATTTGTTTTTCTCAGAGCTCACTGTATTAGCAGGTTTGGTTAAGTGTCAGGAAAAGAGCTTCCCAGCTACACCACTGAATTAGTTTATGTAATCTCAAGTTAATTAGCACCTGGTGTTCTCTTTCCAACAGGAGAGGTCGTTGGCCTGTCTCAGTTTAACATCTCTTAAAAGCAGGGTAATGAACATCACTTCTTGCTAATGAGCCGTTTAGACTTAGCTACTAACTTTAATTGGACACTTGTACACAAGCCATTGCCTGTGGATAAGAATAAGGAAATGTTGATACAGGGCATGCTAGCTAGGGAAATTTCCTGCCTGGACTGTGTTTTTCCAGAATCACAGAACGGTTAAGGTTGGAAGAGTGCACTGGAGATCATCTAGTCCAGCCTCCCTGCTCCAGCAGGGTCCCCTAGAGCATGTTATTTTGATTTTAAGTCTCCAATATGTTCATCAGCTGTGCTTGTAGGGACACCAGGAATGGGGTTGAGCCTTGCTTGTTTTGCAAGCCACAGGAAGGTGATTACAAAGATATATTACATGACTGTCCTCACCTGCTTAACTCTTTCCCTCTGCTGGAGCCTGTGGTAAGCTGATAATAGCCCTTCTTCTCAACCTTCTAAGACAGCTGGCACATGCAAGAAAGGCCTCTTTTCTGGGTGAAAACAAGGTCTGCCCCAGGCAGTGTCCTGAAAGGGGTGTTGCCTGAATTCCTGAGGCCTCTCACCTTCACTGGACCCAACCCCACTGAATCGGTACCAACCCGTCTGAAACAGCCCATTTCAGCTCCCCAGGCATTGCTGGAAAGTTGGAAAGAAAATCCATTAATGACTTCCTCTTAAATTCATCAGCTCTTAGGCTGCTGATGCTCCTGCTGGCTGGCAGAAGGACAACTGGCTCCTCGGGGCATCTGGCTTGAATAGCCAGAGGCTGTCACCAGTGTCCCTGAAAAACGACAATTACTTGTGTGAAAGGTGGTGCTCATGTCCTGTTTACTGGTAAAGCCACCATATTACATTGAAGACCCAGGAGCAAGTGCAATGACAGGAAAGTGGGTGGGCTCTCTGAGTATGGAGTTTGTGTTCACCCTCTGTGCCTTCATCTCCTGCTTTTGCATTGCTCCCTGAGATCTGCTCTCCTGCTCCTCTTCATCTGCTCACAAACATGTCAATGCAGCTCTTTCCTCTAGCATCCTTCAGCACAGATAAACAGGCAAGGTCCCCAGCAGTGCAGGGAGCCTTTGTAGTGCCTGCCCAGGAGATTGGGGAGGTGAGAACCCATTTCCCTGGGGTGCTGGTTGGCAGCAGCTTCCAGGACAGAAGAAGTTTTCTTGCCAGCAGAAACCAGGACAAGGTCACAGCATCATAACTCCAGGGGCTGCCTGCTCCTGGTATCTTCCGGAGTGGACGTGCTCTTCCCCAAGAGCTGAGGACTCCAAATTCCAGCTGACATCCAGAAGTTCTTTATGGAGTTACTCAGCTCTTCATACAAACAAGGCTTGTACTTGATGCCTGAAGTGAACATCTTATACAGAATCTGGGAATAATTCATTTTTCTTGGTTATTTCAGGCAAGATGAATAAAACCAAAATGGCCATGTAAAACCATAATTTATGCTAGAACTGGGAGGTTTAAATATAAAAGCCAGCAGTATTTTTTTCTGAGGCATATGGCAGGCCCCTGTACAAATAGGTATCATGCTAAGCCTGGTCTCCTCCCAATCTTGTGCTGGTTCTAACTATGCACTGCAGGGCTGAGCTCTTACACTGGCTCGTGTGAGAGCCAATAATTGCATCAGATCTAATTAATTACATGTTATTGTATCTCTGAATCTGTATTTCTTCATTTATGCTGGATGGAGGTACTTGCATTTAAAACAAACAGCTGCTTTGGCTTGAAGGATGAATGTTTAATTCTCAGAGAGGGAACATACAAGTTGTTTCACCCTCCTTGGTCTCATTCTTAGGCCAGAGAGAAAATTTAAGGTTACATTTTTTCAGAAGTATCTGACTTGCTAAATGCACTGGGACAGAGTGAATCCCTGACAAGCTTGGAGGCTCTGCTTGGCTTGGGTGAGTCAGCAAAAAGTGAGATCTTTAATTCCAACCTTCAGGGAGGGGCTTTCACTTCTCCTTTGGTCATGGGACTCATCCTGCTTTTGTTCTTCCTTCCACTTGTTCTGGCTGATTTTTAAAGGACAAAGCCAACTTGAAACCTTGCTATTTCCAAAAATATAAGTTTAAAGAATTCCTTGAAACACTTGCCATTTACAGCTTTACATCTCGTTGTTTTTTTCCTGGTTGTAAAGAGGTTCAACTCTCCTTCTGCTGGGTGACCTGCATGAGCCTAGAAAGCCAACCAGGCAGGGCAGGCAGGAGCAACCACCAAGCTCTCCCTGCTGCTGAGTGCCCTTCCTCCCCTGGCTGCCCTCCGTGTGCTGCTGCCTGCAGCACCTGCAGCACCAGGGAGGCTGTGGGATAACTGTCAGCACTGCCAGTGGAAAAAAAACCATTTTTTTCCTGAATCTCAGAGTTTCAAAGAGAGCTAACATCGCTCAAAAACCTGCTTCAGTACAGGTAATTTAAGCTTGAATGTATCCTTTGAACTTCTCTGCATGTTTGTCTTCTGATAAAATGGCAGAAGCCTGCCATGTAGGCATTTGGTGTGATTAAAAGCTCGTTGGAGCAGTTTTGGCAGAGGGGGTTGGGGAATGCTGCTCAGGCAGCATTTGACATGCCATGCATGTTTTGCCAATGTCTTGGAGGTGATCGGGAGGAGAGAGAAGTGATAAACACCATTTGCTTTCAGTTCAAGCATCTTTGCCCTTGAAGAAACCCAGCCAAAATTCACCCCAACTAGGGAAATGTGGATACAAAATCAAGTAGGAGATTTGATTTCATTTGTCAGATGAATTATTTTATCCCTTCCCTACTCAAAACATGGAAATCTGCTTAATTATGTCCTTAAGATCATAAAGCTGTGATAGCTTAGATACTTTTTGACAGCTTGTTACAGTGCACAGCCTTGCAGATTTCAGTACACAGAGGGACTGTAGACTCTAAAGAGATTTTTGGTCGCCACTATGGGGTTGTTTTTCACCAGATAGTTTCTACTGTCCAGTTCAATTGACCTTCAGATGTCTCAAGAGCTTTCATTTCTTCCCTTCAAATACAAGCTGGTCAAGTCTCAGAAGTACAGACACAATATGGATGAGCTATTTTACTAAAGTTTTTTTGGTCACCCTTGGAATATGTTGTGATAGCTTTGTTACCAATTCAAAATACAGATATCCAAATTGGACCACTGTTGTTCCCAAGGTCTCCACCGCTAAAAGAGGCAAAGGCAAAAACCTATCTGAGCCACTGTCACTGGAGCAATGGATATACAGAGAGGAAACTGGAGCTCAGCTGTGCCTTATGTTCTCAATGCCCATCATCCATTCATCCATCACCACAACAGAGAGGCTTTGAACCTTGATAAATTCTAGGGAATAATTAATTTTGCATTTAAAACCCATGGAAGCTGGCATGTAACCTTCATCATATAAAATTCAATGTCCTCCCAGCTTCAAAAAAAACCACCAGCCTGACTTAGCCTGGAACATGCTGGAGAGCCACATGGAAAATGGAAGGTCACATTTAAGGTAGCAGCAGGTGCAGAAAGAAACACAAATTACTGTGGGCAGAAACTCAAGGAAGAGCATAATATTTTGGCCCATTTTGCTTTGCAGAATAACCATGGTGCTGCACAGGATATACACGAAGAGATGTGCTCCAAGAACCTCTGATCCACAGCCAAGTCCCGCTTTGGATATGGACACAGGGCTCCCAGCTCAGTCCATGGGACTCAGCCATGTGTATCTGAGCGTGGGGGTACCCTCAGGTGCACAGAGTTACAGCACACTTGACCTTTGGAGGGTTCCTCTCCTGTGCTCTGCTGGGCTGGACCTCACCATCTGCATCTCTTGGGTCAAGCCACTCCCTCCATTACTCGCTGACATGCTGAGGTGCTGTCGCCAGTGCTTGCTTAAATGCCACTGCCTCCACTTTCTCTGAACTTCCAGCTGAACCTAGGTAGGAAGATCACAAAATACTTAGTTCAGCTAGTTTATGTTGGAGCCCTGCACTGCAGAGAGCAGCGTAACAGGAAAATGAGAGTGGGTTACCTTTGGCAAGGTTTGGGCTTAGTTATTTAAACCCCAGTTTAAAGGGTTAAGGTAGGATCTGTTTCTTGACACTTCTAGTGATACTGTTGTTGCAGCCATACAACTTTCTATTCAATTGCAGGTGAAACTGTTCACAGAATCTAGCTGGCCTTAGGAAGTGTTTGGTTTAGATTTTCCAGAATTTTAATTTTAGATATAAAACCAGGGCATTTTGGCACTCTAAAGTAAAAAAAAAAAAAAAAAACCCGCAGATTTCTTTTCAAAACCACTTTTTTCTGAACCCTGTTGACAGATCAGTCTGAGTATTTCAAAACCCTCCTTTATTTCAAAGTGACTTTCTTAGGCACTGGCTTCCTTTTTTTTCCCCCTTCCAATTAGCTCTACATCTTCCAGGTTTGTATGTTTGTATGTTTTCCCCCCACCTCTACCAGCAGCAGCATTTCAGAGTGCAAGTTTTAGCCCAGAAGCCTGGGAGTTGTCATGCAACTATAATGGAAACAATCCCTCTACCAAAAGCTTTACCTTATAAGAATCCCAATAAACTTGGACTGGGTATAGCTTATGATAAATTCCCTCCTAAGGACTGAGTAAATAAAGCAGCCATGGATGGGGTGGCAGATAATGGTGTCATACGTCAGAACCATTGGCTGTCAGTGTGACTGTGTGAGGGATGGTGCTCCCACCCTCAGTTCCCCGATGCTAATAATGTTATCTGATTTATGAAAGGGTTGCAGTAGTTGAGAGGTGAAGTTTGCATCTGGCATACAATTACCTAGGCTTGCCTGGTCTAGGAGGAATTTCAAGAGTGATGTTAGGTAGCTGGGAAGAAAACCCTCAGACAAAACATGTAATTCATTGGGGGATGTATCCCACTGATTAACGAGGCATGCTTCAGCAATAAAAAAGAATGTTATACACACGAAACTCACCTCACCATTAAGAAAACAATAAAGTACAGCCACAACAAAGCCCTAAAAGATAAAAGAACCAAAGAACCGTGGTCACAGGATTGCAGTTTCAGCTTTTGAATGGGGATGAGGCATCTCAAGGGAAATCAGCTTGGCTTTGCCATTGGAAACTCAAGTCTGTTGCAGAGTTATATGTTCTACCTCTTTTTCTTATTTTAAAGAAATAATAGCTTCTCAGATATTACCTGGAATGATCCAAGAGCCAATTCAAAAAACAGCTGAATTTCCATTGTGCCACTGTTTGCATCCTCAGGGAAAAAAGCAAAGATGATATAGTGGACCCCAAAGAGAGGGATGAGGAGGAGTGTTGACTTTGCAAGTCTCCTGAGAATGAAAACAGAAAAAGGGGAAAAGCTGGTGTAGAAGGAGCAAGAAATGCTCAGGTGGCCTTGAATGTCTTATAAGGGATGTAATGGACATACTTGTATTGGTTGAAATCACTGCTCCGTTTTTCAGGGGAGCTGAGCTTCCTCATCAGGATTCTTAAAATGTTGACAAAGAGGATGAAATTAATCTGAAAAAAAAAAAACCAAAACAAAACAAAGTAAGAATACAAAAGCAGCCCACCAAACAACAAACCCATTATCCACTTATGTAACTGGCAGGTATCAGCAGAGCCACTTTGGGGGGTTTGGACAGAGCAGAAAGAATAGAGGGGTTGGGTCTGGCCTGCCTCAGTCCATGTTCCCATCCCAGTCTCTATTCCTGCTTCTCCAGCCTGCTTGGCCACCCTGGGCTTGGATGCTGGCTGCTTTCCCTGCTGGTTTGCTGCAGCTGTAGTTATGGAGATGGTCAGGGCTTGTTATCCAGACAAATCACCAAAGGGCAGGAAAACCAGGAGCATGGGCTTTGTCACACCTGGCTGTGGGGTTCTGACAGCCTCTGTACATCCACTTTGGATGCCGGCAAAGGGGCAGCCCTGGAGCTATCACTTGCTAACTGGGACTAGGAGTGCTCTTTGTTCCCTGCTAAAAACACTCCGTGTGGTTTGGGATCACGAGACAGAGTAGTTAAAAGTGGGGAGAGGAGAGAATCGACACTGGAGTTCTTCCTTTTGCATTTTCCCCCTCTGGAAGGGTGGATATCAGATAAAAATGCTGATCTGCTCAGTTTGGGAGCAGATGAGGCAATAGCTGTTTCTGCTCGTTGGACCCTCAGGCAAAGAGTGGGAGTTGCAGGGGAGGTAGAGCCGCCTGAGCGTGTCTGTCTGTCTGTCTGTCCCGTGGGGAGCGACCTCGGGCTGATCTGCCCTTGGCTTGCACAGCCTGCAGAGCTGTGTCCCTTCTGCAGCACCCTGCTCTGTGGCTGGCCCTTAACCCTTCCCTGAGCCGGGAAACACCATTGCAGAGGTGCATCCTCTTCATGGTGGGTCCAGCGTGCTGGGGGCATGGCAGCAGCGCTCTGGGGTGTGGGTCTCCCTAAAACACGGGGTCTGCTGGAGATGGGACAGACACAGCTAGTGCCTGAGTTCCTTAAAGTTACCAGATGGAAAGGGAGCAGCTGTGGCCGCTGAGGGAGCCTGGAGAGGGATGGAAATTCGGGAAAGTTGGGGAGAGAGGAGGAAAGGAGTAGAGCTGGGGGGAGCTTAGAGGTGGGGAGCATGAAGGAAAGAAATACTTCAGGGGTGGTGGGAAGCAAAGGAGGTTCAGGTCAGGGTGTGCTGGGATTTTTAACCCATTAGGCCAGGGAAGAGCCGTGTAGGTTGAGCAGGGCTTTTCACTGATAAAAACCACAAGGGAAGGGGAAGCGTTGGGATTCCTGCCCGGAGGAATTGCCCGCGGGCAGCGCAGAAATGAGCGAGAGCCTGGGAGCACAAAGGTGTTTATCGGTGCTGGTTTTCTGCCCTTTCAACTGCTGAAGGCTGTGAGGAATACAGAGATTAGATCTGGGTTTTTAAGATCTGGCTGTTGGTTTGGTTATAGGCTTGAGTAGAGCCTCTTTTGAGGAAAACCTGCAGAGTCACGCAGGTGGCTTCTGCCCTCAGTAGCGAAACAAGGCAGGATCAGCATTCTGAGGACACTTGCGAGGCGATAGTGGGTGGAGGCTGCCAAAAGATAAACTAAGATTGTGCTTTTTGTCTTGCCTGGGTTTCGTTGGCTTTTATATATAACTCAGTGGCTCCTAGCATGAGGGTTGTTTCATAAAGAAAAATAAATGCCATGACCCCAAATCACTTGTGCGTTCTGCTGCTTGTCTTGTGGGGACGCAGGTTGCTCACTGGTCAATTGGAGCAGAACGTTAACCCACCATCTCTGCTGCCTGGCTTTCTGAGAAGTGTGCAAGTGTTGCAGTTTGTGTTTTGCAAACCAAATGCTTCTTACTGCAGAGATGAAACCTCAACCAGCCCTTGAGGTTTCACACCCTTGGGGTGTCAGTAAATTGAGAAAACCCAGTTTTTGGGGGAGGGTTTCAGACAGGTCATTGCAGCACGGTCTGACTCAGAGCATCTTCATCGGGCAGAGCTATCCCAAGCAGCAGCCCCCACTCCCTGGTACCTAAGGCTCTGAAGAAGAGTACCAGCAAATGCTCAAAACACAGGTGCTGAGTATTATACACACCAAACTGCTCTTGTCATCACTACTGCCTTGCACTGGGCAGGCTCACTCTGACTTCCAATGCCTGTGCCTTAATTCTCTGAGCAGTGCCTCAGTGCTGCCCACTAATATGTGATGCGTGCAGCCTGTGAACTGTTTTCATTCCTGAAAACAAAAGCCAATGGTCATGTAAAGCAAGTTGGTTTTGGCTTTGCTGAGAGAGGCATTGACCAGAAGACACAAAAGTAATTGTACTGAAATGTAGAGCCACTCATTTCTCCTCCGGAGCTTTCCTTGAAACAGTCCAAAACAAGCTTCCACAAAACAGCCAAGTTCATGTGAAATCAACAGGATGTGGAAACCTGATCTTCTTCAGGCACTTGCTTCTTGGAAGGACACTCTAGCTTTTCTTGTGCATTTAGCTTTGGGGCATTAGTTACTAAGTCCTGCTGAGCAGAAGTTGCTTAAGCAGTAACTCGTGGGTCACACCAGTTCAGACACATGCCTAAGATCAGTTCATTAACACACTTCTAAAGCATGTTGAGTAGATGAGCTGTGACTTCACAGTATTTGAAAATACAGTTTGAATCTGGTTGTCTCAGAAAAGACTTACAAATATAGACACAACTATAGGGCCTCTAATGATCCACCAGGTATTGGCATCAGTGTTAATGTCCCAACACCTGTAAAAATAGAAGCTGCAGTCAGTTATCAAAACATTGGTATCTTTTCAAACAGGTTTAGTCTGTTTTGCACCTTAGATAGGCCCCTATTCTCTTTTCTACAAAACTAATTTCCTGTTCTCACTGAGTGGTACAACGCATCTGACAGAAAACTGCCCACTTGCACGGGACAGAAACAAGTCCTTCCCTTAAAGCACAAACACTGTTCAAATTTTGAAAGGGAGAAGAGAAAGAAACAAAGTTTAACTGTTCAGAAAGTTAAATACAGATACTGAAAACGTGGTCTGAATTCATACCTGAAGGCTACCTCCTACGCTTGAAAATGCTCAAATGGAATTGGAAGCTTTTCCTCATGTTGCTCAGCTGTACCTCTCTACTCACACCCACACTAGGATGCAGGCTCCCACCACAGCAGGGTGTTGATTGATTTACTTGCTCCCAGCAATTAGAAATGAGCAGGATCCCATGGAACAGCCTGCACAGGGCCTGCATGCTCCCCCTGGCATGCCAGCTTCCCCCACTCCACACCACTTACCCAATATTTTCATGGAGCTGCCGAGCGGTCGCCCATGCAGCCACAAACACCGCTGGGGCACCTGCAATTGGAAAAACCAGTTACTGCTTCACAAGTCCATGCCAAAGGCAGGAAAAACCCAGTTGTCCTCACTGAAGGGAGAACCAGTACCCCATCCGAGGGCGATGAACCACAAGAGGAACTTTCTTTCCGAGAAGAAGGAAATCACCAGGAGAGTGTGGAGGTACAGTCCTTCCACCAGGAGCCAGCTGTAGTTAGACATGATGCAATACTGAAAGAAGACCATGGTGAGCTTACAGCCAGCCTGAGGAAAGAGAGGATAATTAGCTCCTGCCTGGGTTTGTTCCTACCTTCTAGCAGAGATAGCAAGCTGTAAATTAATCTTGGCAAATAGAGATTTTATAGCAATTAGGGGACTAAATGGGTGTCCTCGAGACAGGGGTTCACATGACAAGAAAGCAGAGCTGGCACTCCTAAATGCATTAATCAACTGCCTCACTAGAAGAACTGAACGTGTCATGGACACTTGGATTCGGGTTACTGTCCCAGGGGAATTTCACTATTACTATCTTCCTAGTACCAGTAACACAAATATCACCTTAGAGAAGGATATGAATGTATTATCAATCCTTTTTTTTTTTTTCCCAAGAAAAGCAGTTGATAAAGACAAACTAAAATGTTCTCAAAATGGTTTTTTTTTTCTGCAAATTCCCAGCAAAACCAGTGGGATAAAATAAAACAAAACAAAACAAGCCTATTTTTGTTCCTCTCCCTAATTCTTATCTTTTAGTTTAAACCATTGACCATCATCTACAGTGTTGCTCACCCCTCCTCACACCCAAATTTTCAAAATAGTTTGCTGCCAATAAAAAGAAAAAAGCAAAAACATTTCAAAATTTGGGAGGTCCCAGACTGTCTGAGTGCAAGCCATATCTTACTATCAGGCCTCACACTGCAGTGTAAATTAGCAATATTTAATGTGTTCTCAGAGAAGGGGCAGAGCACACCTCTCTTCTCCCATAACTCCTCATGATGAACATAAAGCTGGGATGGAGATTTCCTTCCCTGTACACTAAATATCCTGCTAGGATCCTGCTGGGAAATTGAGGGGTGGAGCAAGCTGGTGAGCAGAGGGTTACCGTGTATGCCCCACAGTAATTTGTGTCCTCAGAGGAAAACAAGACTGCATCCTTGATGAAGTTGGATGAGGCTCGCAAAATGAACGATGTGAAGAGATGCATGTGGATGTAGTTCCTTGTGCAGCGAAGCCTTCTGCAAAAACAGAAGAGACAGATCCAGTGAAGTGACATTCCTCACCAATGTAAGGAATCTGTGGCTGTAAACAACAGGTTTCAATTCTTAGTAGTGATAAACTGACAAATGAAGAACAGTGTTGTTCTGTCTGTGAAAGGAAGACTGATGCATTTCCCAAGAGGGATATCCTAGAGAAGACCTTAAAAAGCTACAGTCATATCTGCTCCACTCAGGTACTAAAACAAGCTGAATGTTGCCAGGAAAATTGTGACTTCATGCCAATATTCTTGTTCTAGCATCCCTCCCTCCCTCTCTCCTTTCTGTAGTAACATGAACCCAAGGTGTTTATTCACACCTGGATGAATTTATTTATTCTGCCAGCACAGTGCACTTGTGCCTGCAGTGTTTTCTGTATTAAATCTTCACATAGTCTGTGTCCAGAGGCTGTGCAGCCTGAATATAAATTTGCAAAGTAGTTGGGTTTCCTTTGCCCAGAGGTGCCGCCCTGACATTTACTGTAAGGGAAATTATTTCACTGAATAAGCAGCACAGTACAAATTCCAGGTTACAGGGATGAGTGAAGATAAGCTGCATGTCAGATTGCTAATAGAAACCTGAAGCACTTTACTGCAAATCAGTGCAGTGGCACTTAGAACAAAGTTTTAGCCACAGCCTCAAGTGGGGAAAAGAGCAGCAGGGGGAAAGACACTCTGCCCAAGGGACACTGAAATCATGGGAAGACCTCATCAGGGAGTTGGTGCAAATGCCATTTGCAACATGCATCCAGCTGTGATTTGGAAAGAAAAGGAGAGCACAATACAATGAGCAGCCCTGACATTTTCTGGGAGACCAGGTTCAGAGATAAATTTTGTACTATAAAGGTTTCTATAAAGATTTCTATAAAGGTTTTCAGATATACTTCAATTTTTAGTTTGTCCAGGAAGTCAATAGAAGGATTTTGTCAGCTGAGATGACCAGAAGTCCCAACCAAGCACAAACTAGAGATGGTTCTCCTCACCTAAAGGAGGCCAGGACCACCAAAGCTATCATCAACGTCACAAGGGAGGTGCAGTATCCGATGGTGTACATGGTCTTCAGGGTCATGAAATAGGAACGCTGCAGGGGAACATATAATCACATCTTTACCTTGCCTGCCTGGTAGAGATCAGCCCATACCAAATGAAGGATCCTTCCTCCTTTTTAATGAATATATTTTCTTGTAAAATCAGCTACTGAAATTTCACCTTGAGCAACCACTTCCAATTATTTGCAGGAAGTATTCATGCTGAAAACCACCAATAGCAAAAACCCCACCTGTGTTAAATCACAACATCAATCAGTATCTCCTAAAATTGTTTCTCCCCAGGGCCCCAGAGCAGCAGATCTGTGCTCACTGGCACTCAGACTCACTCTGGCCTCGTTGGTGGTGTCATTGACATTGTAGCCACAAGCAATGTCAGGTCTCGGGTACGGCTCTGACCAGCCCTCACTTGTACAGTTTCGGTACACAAAACCTGTGTGGTAACATTAAAAAACACAGAATGGGTTATGACCATTTCCAGTTTTATCTTTGTTGTCCTCAGTCACCATGTAGGGTTGCCTCAAGAGCCAGGAGAGTGTGTTGCCCCAGGCAGTGCTCTCTGCATAGCTGGAGGCAAAATGCAGCTGAGCTGATTCTGTTGATACTTGCCCAGTGTACTTGTGTGGGTCATAATATTGTTTGCCCACTCAGGGATGATTGTGATGGATGTGTTTTTATAAATTGCAACATAAATAATACTGCTCGGTACATCTGGTGTTTCTTGGCCACTATTCCAAGATCAGCAAACATGACTTGTTCAGCCACAGATTCAAGCTCCATGCAAACCTGATACTCTGCTGAATGCTTCTACCTCCTTACTGTGGTTTGTCATGCTCCAAATAGAACACAAAACTGTAGATGGTCACAGATTTTCAGTAAGATTTAAATAAATACTAAAAGTCTTTTCCCTACACTGGGCATTATTTTACACAGTTGATTTCCTTGTTTACTTGCAAATTAAAGGTTAGGAAGAAATTCCCCTCTTAAACTCAGCTTCTGGAAAGCTGAGTACTGGAGTCCAACCGTGTCCCTTGGAGCTGTCTTCAGAGAAAAATAGACATTTGCAGAATTCAACTCATTTTTCATACTGGTATCCACAAAGGGCAGTTTGTCTGACCCTTTTCTGCTGGGATGTCTGACTTTTAGACTCCTAATGATGAGTGAGATGAATGCCCAGCAAGCTGCACATGGCTGAACAGGATAGTTTTGAACTTGTCCACATTAAGTTTGGCTCTAAAGTTGAAGTGTGAAGTCCTGGGCAACACCACTTACAATGTCATTGGAAGAAAGTGGCCCTAGTAGGCATGTTATATGCTGAAGAGAACCTTTTACAAAGAAGTAAAACAACTTCCCACTGTCCTAATCACATTGATCTGCCTGGTAAGAATCATACTTCAGAAACATGGAGTGAAATCCTGGCTTTGTTGCAGTGATGGCAATGCTAGCAGGTATTTAAAGGAGATGTGAAACCAGCAGTCCTTCTTAGTACAAGCCTTTCCAGAGGGCACCATAAAAGTCCATTTTTTTACCACACATTTAGCCATGAGGACTTTAGGGTGTCTGGCTCTTGCAAAACACCCATTCAGTGCTGAGGGAACTGAGGGAGATGCATATCCAGCAGTGTTTGGCAATGGTTTATCCTCTTTGGAGCCCTGCTGGAATTGTCAGGACAGAATCAGGGCTCCTGCTACCTCTGGGCTAATGCTGGTGACCTGACAGCATGTCTGCACTTGATTTGAACTCACCTCTGTAAACCTGCAAGGCACAGCAAACAGGCTTAGAACCCTGAGTGGAAAGAGCTCTGGGTGTGTCCTTATCAGACTATTATTCTGATGCTGTTTTGAACATCTTGTTCCAACTTTGCATCTTTGAAAAGGCCAGGCTTGCTTTATGAGCCAGGTTTTCTACGTTTTGCTGCAGTGCAGCAACAACAGGAAAGAAGTAGCTCTCCCAAAAGGTGCTTCTGTCTTGGCACCCAGCAAGGGGGTGGTGTGGTGGGAGATTCTCTACATCAGCATCAGCTATTAAGACACACTTACTTAACTTGGAGCAAAGCACTGTGCTTGTAAACATGCCTGTGACTGTTTGGTGCTCGAGGCTGTCAAAGCAGATCAGACAAGAGGAGGTGAAGTTCTGTGTGGGTGTGCAGATGCTATTGCACAAGAGATTGTGCCAGGCACATCATATGGATGGGCACAAGGAAAATTTTTACAATGCTCCTGAGTTATAGGTTATTATACACACACACTGGGGAAACTGCAGCATGCCCCACTCAGAGCAGACTGGGTGTCTGCAATCTGTCTAAGGATTTGGCTTGGTGTTTACTGGTACTTTGGAATTGCCTAGGCAAGTAGGAACTCTGGCTAAAGGGATGGCTGTGGGACTGAGGCTATCTGAGATGGCCTTTGCCTCTGAATCATCATGATTGTCACACCTTCCTTCATTCCTTGCCTAAGACACCATGCTCAGTTCTGTTACTCGGATCCAGATAATTTTGTTTCTTTGGTCTGCTATGTAGAAAGGGACCAGACAGTCTGGGCTGCAAATCCAAGTCTAGAAGTGGGCACAGAGACCAGGGTTTGGGCAGAGCTCAGCGCCATCCACAAGGCTTAACAAATGGGCCTTTGGCATTTGTGGCTGCTCATCTGCTTTGTAAGTGGTGAGGAGAGAAAACCTCTTCTTTTCTTTTGAAGCGAGCAGATCTTTGTTTTTCTTTTTCAAAACTGTTTCAAACAGGGCAATGACTGTAGCAGTAAATAAACTCTGGAGTCACAAGCCAACCACAGTATAAAACCAAAGAAGAAGGTGGCCATGAGAATGAGGTTAAACTATTGCTGACTTTGACCCAAAATGCCAGATGCAGAGACTGAAATAAGATGCTAACGATGATGGACCAGGTCTTGGGGCTCTGTTTTGAACACTGTCACTCTGATTACTATTTATCAGCTTCTCGATAAAGAGGGCAACTAAAGTTTAAGCTGACTATCTCCAGGATCAGGGAGTGAACATCTGAGATGTAATTATGACCTTTGGATGTACAAATTCCTGCTTTCTTCCCCGGTGAGGAGGCCAGAGGCAGGGAGCAGTTCCCTCTAGTGGCTGGACCAGCAGGGATTTCAGTTCCTACATTTAAGGGCTGGGATCACTGTGCTGAAGTAGATGCCAGACAGATGGTTTCCTCAGCGATCTAAGCCTTTGTGTAGTTTATCCTTTGGCTTTAAACCAGCTTAAAGGGCTCAAAGGGCAGATAATGTTCGTGTGTACAGAAAGTAGCAAGGTTTTTATTTTAATCTGAGTGGCTCATGTCTGATTTCATTTAAAGAGCACTAAGTGCTTCTCCTTTGAGTTATGTAATCTTTATTAGACAATCTAATACTTTGTCTCCTGTTCCTCCCTTCATAAAATGAATCTGTCTGCTTTTCTGTAAGTACTGGACCTCATTAATCTGTGCCCTATAACTGAAGAATGCAAAACCCTCTTCTCATTTGAATCATTAACTCCTGAAAGAGAAACATAAACACATTTCTTCGGCATTACTGAAAAGCAGAAATGAACAGAAAGCAGGCTTACTTAATAGCTCATGATTACTGTAGTCTACTGGGAGTAAATTTCACTTCATTTCTAGCTTAGATATCCCAGAAAAAAAGGACAAAAAACATTGCTTGAGCTCACCTCTGTTTGAGTGAATTGTTTGGTGAGCCATGAAACCTGAATTTCCATGAGATTGTGTGGCTTGTATGGATCCTGTCACAGGCAAGAGAGAAATCTCCAGACCAGATTTCCTCTTAATGAAAGCAAAAAAAAGGGATCTTTTCTGCCTGCCTAGCCGGATGTTTTGCCAAAACTCACGTGAACCTAATGCTGTGTGAAGTTTTGTCCCCATCAAGCTTCTCTGGGGCCAGCCACTGGCTCTAGAAGTTATTAAAAGGGAAAGACAGGAATACAAAAAAGTTGAGTGGAGAAAACATTTTTCCTTGAGAAACCATGCTAAAAACCTGCTTTTCAGGATAGCATTTAATTCCTGCACTTTTTTCCATATGTCTAGAAAACACAAACACTTAAAAGATCTTGCTACTTTAATTCCAAGCTTTTTCATGTTCACCTTAGAGTGGGACACAGACCTGCTAAGTAACTATTGTTCTTCAAAAGCAGGAGGGAAAAATATTCATTTCATGTTCAGATCTGAGCATGGCATCTTTGTAAAGAAATAAAAAATAAAGTGTTTAATAAATAAGTGTTTAATAAAAAACATCTGGGTGAGAAAAGCATTATTTTAGCATTACCTTTTTTCCCAGTCAGCATCTGAAAGAATTCAGGGCAGTGAGCATTGACAGTCTGTCCCACAGTGGATGAAGGCCAGCAGCTCATGTTGTCCCACATTCCAGCACATCTGCCTGGGGGGGCAACAAGGGAATACCATAGAGCATCTCCCAGGGACATAACACCATGAAACTTCTTCCAGCAATGAAACACTGGGAGACATCTCCGAGCATCTCCCACGGACCAAGGCAGCTACAGGAACAAAGATGCTCAGTGCTCCGAAAAGCAAGCTGGATGAGACCTGGATAGGACAGAGCAGGTCCTGATTGCTTCAAACCAGCCCCAGCAAGCTCCCAGACCGGTCCCAGTCTTGTCATTGATCCCACTGGTCTCTACTAGACACACAAATAGCAATTAGAGTCATTCTGAACTTCACATCAGGTCTTTTGCTACCTAACTGTTTGCTGGTAACTACTGAGTGGCCCTGGAAAGATGAAAGAAATCAGATGGGAATTTTTAAACTTATTTTCAGTCTTTCTAAAGCTTTCACTTTGAGTCATTCTAATGTTTTCCTTACATAATATTTTTGTAAATATGAAAAAATGCAACTGGATGACCCTGCTTGAGCAGGGAGGTTTGACCAGATGATCCATAGGTCTTTTCCAGCCTCACCCATTCTGTGATTCTGTGACTAGGAATTTAAAAAGCTTCAGAATGATGCTTAAACCACAGATCACTTAAATCACAGACTATTCTGAGTTGCAAGGGACCCACAAAGACAGTAAAACTCTTAAGTGAATGGCCCATTTGGGGATCACACAAAACCTAGGCATTATTAGCACTATAGAGCACTATGTTTTAACCAGTTGAACTAGTCTCATCATACTGGGGAAAGGATAGAGAGGAATAGCATCAATGTCTTCCTTTTATTACCATAAATACTTCTCTTTTTCACTGTGCTCAGGCTGCAGTGAAGTGAACAATGCTATCAGACCACTCACTGAGCTTGGCTGCCCAGACTCACCCCGTTTCAGTTTGGTGCTTATTTTAAGGATGAGCTTGTCATGGTCCCTTCTCACAGTCAGGGAGGGAGGGAGACTTTTCCAGCTGCACCCTCAGCTTGACTGCATTGCCTTCTGGCAGGGCTGGTAGAGATGCATCAGGGAGCTCATCTGGTGGCCAGAGGAGCAGAGTATGATGGTGATCTCTACTTAGACATCTTGCTCTGGTGTTGGATGCTGGCATGGATTAATTTTGGCCTGAGATGCAGAGTGTTAGTGGAGAAGACCTACATTTGATCTCTTTGTACCAAAGGGAAACTGCCATTTCTTATTTTGCTCTTCCCCAGATACAGGCTGAAATCATTCAGATTCATTCCCTTTTGCCTCCACTCCCTGTCAATGGTTTTTCCCCCCTGCTTTGAGGTTTCTGCAACAAAACAGGGGGAAAAGGCCACTGGGGCATGTCAGGACTACTCTGTGCCTGCTGTATCCAGACATGTGCCGTCTGCCCTGCATGCTCCCTGAAAGCTGAGGGGAGGAAGTGCTGACCAAGCACTCTCCTCAAACACTTCATGCTTTATAAGGCCAGCCTCCATTAGCCTGACAAAAATATTTACATTTCTAGAAATGTATTGATTTCCTTCTGTGCAACAGTCGTAGTCCCTGAAAATACAGAGCTGTTCACAGCCAGGGCAGCACCTCAGCCCTGGTGTCCTCCCTGTGCTAATGTTTTTAAGTCTTGGAAAGGATTTACTTCAAAGCAAAAGTTTAAAGGCAAGCAAAGCTTCACCTTGGGTGATATTTATGACTTAACATGCTGCATTGTTTGGTTTATCGAACGTTCATGTCAACACCACAGGCATAAAAATCATAAAAATCAGACCCAATGCATAGAAAATCCTGGCAAAATTATGATGTTGGGTGGTTTCCATCCAGGAAGAGAAAACAAAAACCAGCTGAGCTACTCCTCCTGTAGGGGGGCTTCTTGCCATTCCTCATGGATAAATGCTGGAATCTCCCACCTCTGGCTAGATAAAGAGCCTCAGGGTGGAGACAAAGCACAGCAACATCTCCCTCACAGAGCCCTGTGCTCTTTGGGATCTCCCTCAAGCAGCACTCAGAGCTTTCTCCTGGCAGCAGTACATAGTGTCACCATGATCAGGGGTTCCAGGTCCCCAGTAGCTTCTCTGCCCTGCTCCTTGCTCCCAAGAGAAGTTCCTTGTCCTCACTCATGCCCTAAAAAGACCATAACTGTGACTTGGGTTATGTTAATATTACACTGCTCCCTTTCCCAAGCTAATGTTACCGTAAGGGCAGAGTCCCTTTTCCCTTTTACTGCTGGAGGATAAGAAACACTCGCTGCTCAGGTACTTGGTGCCTGATTCCCCAGCAATGAATTCCTTTGTTTGTGCCATCTTCACAGAGAAGTGAGCACTGCAGCAGAGATGGCATGGTGGGAGCTTGTCCCCTGCTTTGTCCATTTTCCTGCCTGTGCCAGTCAAAGCTTCTGGGGCAGGTGCAGGAAGGATGAGGTGTGGAAGGTGCCCCACACCCTGCAAAGACACCTTTATTCCTCCCTGCATCACCCACCAAGGGTATGCACTGAATTCCTCAGCTTTGTTTCTCTCTTCTTCAAAATGAAATCCTTGTATGGGGTTTTCTCCGCAGGGACTACAGGCATGCAGATACCTTAAAGGCTGGAGGTATTTTCAGGTGTGTTATTTCCCAGAATAGAAGCATTACTCCCTAATTTACCAAGGTAACAAACCTCTCTTAGAGTTTGGTAGAATTTTAGGTAGAATTACCCCATTTAAAAATTCCAATAATGAAAGGCCTTGGGTGAATTTTAAGGTGTGGATCCAGTTTAAAATTGGATTAAGTCTCTGCTGAGAAGCTACTATTTGACTGAGATAAAGCAAGACCATCTGTAAAATGGTATTGCCTGCTAATGCTACTGCAGGTACACACTAGCATGGTCCTGTGGAGTTTTACTTGTCTGCATCTGCTGTGGAGCTCTGGTGCCAAGGAAACACAGAGCTGAACATTAGAGCCATATCACAGGATCAAAGCAGAAAAAGAAATAGTCCGACAAACCAACCTGCTCTTCACTGAAGGAAACAAACTATACTGATTTATTAGTTCTTACATGCAGATCTGCCTTGTGGAGTACCTGGATGTCTGCCATAAGGTATCCTGTCACTGCCACATGGCTGTACTGCCCTGAAGCTGTGCTCACACCCATCAGTCTGCAAGGGACAGGGATAAAACAGTAACAGAGAAAAATGCAAGGCATCCTAAGAAACCAGGCAATGGACCTTCCCTCTTGAGTTCTGTCCTTGGGCCAGGTCATAGTGAAATTGTTCTGTGTCTCCAACACTCTCTGTTAGAGAGGAAGGCTTTGAAACTAAGAAAACACCTTAAGTAACTCTAGCTCCACGTGGCAGCCTATCTGTGGGCAGGATAGCCTGCACACAGCACATCTATGGGAGCTCCTTCCCGTCTCATGCTGGGTAAGAACCTTGCCCATGTTACAGTGCACAAATTCACCCAGAATCAGTTCAGTCTGCAGGATTCTGTGAGTGACACAACCCCATCCTCAGTGATGATGGCTGGTCACACACTAAAAATAGTCACATGTGTTGCCTACACCCAGTGTTCTCTCTGAGATGCTGACCCAGCAGCTGCCTGGGGGAAATAACATGCAGTTCACAGGCAAGGTTTAATAATCTCTTGCACATGACCCCAGTTGCTCAGCTGTGAAAGCAAAGCTGTCTACATGATGAGGACTCAGTACCACAACTTTCCCAGGCCAAAAAGCTCTTTTGTATGATGATAAATCCTCGCTGAAATTCAAGAACTCTGTTAGGTGACAGTAACTTGGAACAAGGAGGAAGCAATGAGGACCTTCAAGCCACGTGATTGAAATGTTGGCTGCTGGTCTTCATTGATTTTTAAGGTAAATATAGTTAAGTAAATTTGCAGTTGCCAGGGTGACTTTTTAAATTATCCTTTCCAAGAAGACATGATTGCAATTTGCAAGATTTTGTTGCTGGTGTGTTCCCTAGTTGTGAGGATTGCAGTCAAGCAACTGGGTTAGAAAGTTCCCACAATTCTTCCTGTCACAGTAAGGTCAAAATCCCACTCTCAAAGCCTTGTAACAGATCTTACCTGTTTTTCTGCTCTTAAAGGAGAGATGTATTCTAAGTGCATACCTCCTATGGGAAGGGATGCCAGGGTATCTGAGTTTGAGGCCCCCAGTTCATGTGATAGCAGGTTTTATCATGTGCATTTGTTCAGTACATGATAACACATAAATGTTATGTGTTACCTGAGCTCAGGAGCAGATCATTTTCAGTCGTTCTGTTCCTTGCCTCCAGGGAAAGAGTCTCCACACACTTTTCTTCCTCCCTTTTCAGGACACTCAGAAGGTCGCAGACAGGTGGAATAGCTTTGATCTACAAATTTTAAAAGCAGTGGAATCACTTTTCCTCTTAAAACTTATAAAATCTCAACAGAATCTATCCTTTTTATGCTCATATTCTCCATGCAAATTTATCACTTGATTGTGAGCAATATTTCCTTGAAACACAGACAATTTTCCCAGTTTAGTCTGCATTTTTGTAGTAGCAGCAGGCGAACACAGACTGAGTTTATGTCTTCTCCCTTTTGCTGACATTACTGACATTGAGAAAAATGTGTTATTCTGCTAAATTAAGTACATGAACAGGATGCTCTTCCAAAAGACTGCAGAAACATCCAGGACACTGCTGGAGTCTCCTAGAGTAACAGAGAATTAATCACTCACCCATGGCTGTGTTAAACCATACACCTGGCAGGTCATTTTCCTGGGCACAAGTGATCCAAATATGCCCACTGGTGGCAGACCACCCAAGCCTGTTTCCCTGCTACCATCTGGTAGCTGCAGGAGCCCACCTGAAAGCAGAATCTCACCCAGATTTTCATGAGAACCTAGATGGCAATTTGTCCTAAGGTCATTTTCATATATTCCCAGCCTCCTTTCTCATAAAACTATGTGGGAATGTTAATATTCACTCAATTCTGATGTAGCAATTAAATGTGTGTTTATGTTTAATACAGCTGGACCAAAATCAATGAAAAAACCGAACAGCTACAGACCATTAAAATGACAAATATTGAAAATCATTACAAAATTATTTGCAGGACAAGGTCTTAACAGTTATGTTGTTCAGAAAAAAAGTATTTTTACCCTTTTCAGGGTATTTTTACCAGTGTCTATTCTTTTTACACAAGAAACCTGAATGTAAGTGTATGCCCATTATAATGAATTAGATAAATTCTGTCTAATGGATAAACCCAAAATCTCTATAAATTCTCACTGTGGAACTTTTATGTACATATACATAAATGCATATGTATGTACATGCATCATGAAGAGATTAGAAGCCAGTCATCAGGCTCTATTAGTTGAAAATTATCAGATAGACTTTGTTTATGTTCTTTGTTCAAGAAAGTTAACCCTGCAGCATAACATTACTGCTCAACCTAATAAATCTTGTAGTATTGCTGATCACTTTCAGATTAGATTTCAGAGAAAGAACAATCCCTGAAAACCTTGTAATGAGAACTATTACTTTTCTACAATTAAATTTTAGCTACCAGACATTAGAGACAATATTCCCACTATATTGGCTGGAAATTTTTTGAGTATTGTATTTCTGAACAAAGTTTGATCTTTTCAGCAGTGTTATCATACCTCACCTAATTGGTCTGGTGTGTAAACTTGTGTTTAACTTCAGTATCCTCCTCCCTTGTCTTTGTGTGTCATGAAATAAATGAACTAGAAATCACCTGGTTTTGCACAATGTAATAAATTTTCTGGAATCACACATGCAAAGACTTTATATGAGAGAAACCCTCTTCTGATGCCAGGATTTGAATGCTGAGCATTTGAAGTGGCCAACAGAACCAGTCTGGGTTGCTAAGATGATACTGAACATATGCAAAAATAAATGCAAGGAAATATGTTAACAATGATCTCAGAAACAGGGGAATACTCCATCTTAAAAAAGCCTTTACATTGTGTGGGCACTGTTTTCTTTAAGAAATGTGGGTCCTAAGAAAGTTTTTGTTTTACAAAAATTTAAATTCTGTGTTATTTCTTTATGGCTAGAGTGAGGCCACACACTTTTAGCACACACAGTTGTGAAGATCACCCTGATGATCCGATACAGCATTGCTTTCTTACACTAAATGTGTTGTTCAAGCAGGAGTACAGCATAGGCAGTGCCTTACAATTACTGTTTTACCCCACAAAGTGATGTCCACCCTATCCTTCTAATCAGCTGGATACCATTCCTGGGAATAGATGTGCAACTAACAGGATTTTAAGCCCAGGGAAAGCAGAGAGCTTCCAGGCGTGGGTTTAAAGACCTTGTTTTCCACCAGCCCTGTCCCTGAGCCAGTCTGTGCCAACACAGGCATCCGAGGGGGCAGGCTGGGTGCGCGCGCTCCGATGTTTGTGGAGCCATGCGAAAGCCGCTTCCCATGGCGCGGCCGGATAACCCCACTCTGCCAGCAGCTGTGCTCAGTCTCACTCGTGTTTACCATCCACAAGTGGGAGCAAACAGCCTGCCCCCACTGCTGGAGAGCGAGGAGGAAAAGGGGCTCCTCTACGTGCCGTTTCTATGTTTCTATGTCTCTTCCTAAACAGTTCCCTGAAACAGTTGTGATCTCCTTGACACTTCACCAGCTACCAAAAGGATCATTAACTCTCTCCCAACTGAAACCAGGACAGAGAGAAAACCCTCTTCAGATTTTGTTAAAAGACAAGATACCAATCCCATTCCAAACAGAGATAACTGTGATTAATAGATCTCTAGAACAGGCAAAATTCTGCAACATTGACAGCAACAGCTAACACAGTTTTTAAAGTGTGAAATAAGTGAATCTAAACATTATCCAAATTCACAGCCACTTCATTTTAAAATAAGTGGTTTTGGTATAATAAGCATTTAAGGATTTAAGGAGCAAAAGATGCCTGGCAAAATCAAAACAGGTATTTTCAATCATTAGAAGAACCAATAGAAATAGGTGCTCTTGGGGACACCCTGAGCGATGACATCTATTTACAAAGTCCTTTAGGTAGTACTAAGAACAAGAAACCAAAATTACAAGAAAACCATCACAGTCACAATTTTTATTGCAGAAGATGATCAAAAGGCAAAAGGTTTGAAGATTGCATCCACTCCGCAATTAAAATGTCTAGGCAGAGCTCAGGTTTTCTCACAGTTGGAGCCAAATTCTCTACTGGGACAAATAAATTGATTTTTCCATTTGTTGCAATGAAACAGTGATTTGATCCTATCCTAACTTCTCACACCCAAGGTAGACATATTTCACCCCTTGTTTTATATGCATGCAAAATCTGAATAACCTGAGCCGCACCTGGAGATCACAGCCCAGGTTCCACTCTCCTTTCTGAGTGATCCGAGCACCTGGAGCTCAGCAGTGACAATCTGCCACATAAATCTCAGTAAAGTGATAAAGGTGAAAAAAAGAAGACAAACTTTGTGGTATATAAACATCGCTTCACATTCCTTCCAGGGAGGCACTGCTAGATGTGGGCATTGCCCCTTAAAGGGATTGATTGCTGGTGTAAATCAGTAAAGCTTCTCTGAATGGAGTTAAAGCTTTTCTCCTTCAACACAGCACCTGCTGTGTTTGTCAAAGCGTGCTAGTAACACTTGTGTCTTTATAAAGGTGGGGAAACTGAGGCATCCAGCATCTAGTCATCTGGCCACTGTCAGTTAGTGCAGGAAGCAGCAAAAGCAAGAAGAAAATTAAAAAATCCCAGGTTCTACACAGATCTTTTTAAACAGAGACACCACAACTTCATGAAATAGAGGTGCTCAGCATTACTCAGATAACATGTGATTCCATGCAAACGGGAATAAATACATCTGAGCACCTACCGGGACAGCTGAAATCCAGAAGATCACCCAGATGGTCCACATAGTCAATCACAGTCTGTTTCCTTCATGCCTCATGCATCAGAAGTCAGCATGCTGTTTGTATGCTCTCCAGCGTGGCTCCTGGCTCTTTTCACTTCATCCTTTTCCCTCCTTGCCTTTTTCCCTTCCCAGCTTTGACCATCCTTAGCCAATGTTTCTCTCCAGCTGCTGAGCTCTAGAGAGCATCAGCAGTGACAGGACCCCCCCTCCTGTCCACCCTGCAACTCTCCTCCTCCTCTGCAGAAGCGCCCTGTCCCAAGAATTACAGCACTTCTCTTGAGCATGTTCCTACTGCTGTCTGCCTCCCTTCCTGGCTATTATTCACTGTTATTGATGGGTGTTGCTGGGCAATGATCGTTCCTCATGCTCCCATGATAAGGGAACAAGCAGGACTGCCCTGTAAGATGTCAGCCCCACAATGGCAGGGGCAAACAGACAAGGGGAAGTACAGCTCTGGAATAAGTGCTCTGCTGAGAAACCGAGTTGGAAGAATGTGTTTCAGGCTGCCTGCACTGCTTCTGCTCTCGATAGCTCTGCACATGCTTCCCACAGGGAGCATACATCCCTGAGAGGCAGAAATCAGGAAGCTGGCAGACCTTGCTGCAGGTGAGCCAGCTGCCTGCATGTCCCACCAAGCCCAGCTGAGCACAGCTGCCAGAGCCAAAGACAACTTCTAGTCTAGGATAAACAGGGAATCTGCTCTTCCCTTCCAGAGAGGACTCCAAATATTCCCTAGATTTCATCCTCTTATCCAGCATCTGAAGAAACAGCCAGTCTGCATTTCATCCAAACGCTATAGGCTACAAGGTGTCATTGCATTTGGATCCCACTGGTACCTTGTTGCTGGGATGTAGATTCAGACATCCTGGGTTTCCCAAAGATAGTTCCTTGGCAGTCCCCTCACCTGTCAGCAGAGCACTCTTTGTTGTTCCTGGTTTTGTTTCTGTGGCAAAACTATTGTGAAGGGGCTGTGTGCTTAGCTGGGTGTGAGCTCCCAGCTGCCAAGGCAGGCACTCCAAACCCTTGCGGGTCACATTCACTTCTAGCACAATACTGAATACAGCTTCAAAAGAGAGCCAAAGTTTGCACTGTGTACCAGTGCTCTTTCTGAAAGCACGGCAGTCCTCAGCTTGTCTCAAAACATCTTTTACCACCTATTCCAATTTCCCATCACCAGACAGGTCAAATTTAATGAAGTGCTGCCCAGAACACAGACATGCTCCAGGTTTACCAGTAAAGTCAATGACTAGGAAAAATATATGGCTAATTGCCTGTGCACTGAAAATCCTGCCATTGGATTAAACAAGTTATCCACTGAGCAGCACAAAAAAATGAAGGAATTTGGGCTGCCTAGCAAGTGACGCCCTTTCCATGCCCATCCTGACTCCAGCTTATCTCTATATGTGCTCATGAAGATCACTGAGTTGCAGTGCTCCCTCTTTCCCTGCACACCACCCTCATCTCTCCCCACAGTCCCAGAGCAGCAGTCAGGCAAGCAGAGCATTTGCTGAACCCCACACTGGCTCTGTCTCACTCATCCACCACACTCACACAGCATCCTTTCCCCCACAAATGGCAAATGCTTCAGTTTTCCTTCCCCCAGTCCACACTTAACTTGTAGTGATTTTCATTTCTCGAAGACATCTGCTTCCCCAGAGTTTGGTTGAAAATATCAAAGGGTTAAACAAACTGTTGAGAGGGGGTCTGAGAGGCAGACAGACAATGGTTGCTGTATAGTCTGAAGAAACCACACTGACAATGCTGCATCATCTCCGTGGGGCGCCAAGTCCTTCTCTCTCTTCCTTTGGCTGAAGGAATATTTTATTATTCCATTCATATTGAAGCATCTTCCCCTGAAAGCCAGCACTCTTTCTTGCATTTATGTAATTGAGAGAGCTTTGCTTCTGAATGTACTTTGGAGTGTGGCACTTCTTCCAAAATAGGCCCAGGAGTCTGGAGAGCCAATGTTGGATTTAAACACCAACAGTGTGAATTAATATTTTGTGATCCTCCCACTTTATTCACATGCAGGCTGAGTGTTTGAAAGAAGATGGATGCAAAATAAAACCTGGGAGATTCTCACCTGTGCAAACCATTGCTTGACTCATAGCAAATGTCAGCCCAGTGGGACAGACAGGGAGAGCTGGGAAACCTAACAGCAGCAGCAGACTACAAAGAATTATTACCAAGATTTCACAGAGCCCCAAATGAGATGTTTGTTTAATTAAGCAATAGCTGTGTGCATTTGCTTTTATACCTACTATGTATACCTCTCGTAAACTTGTCACAGCTGGAATTTTTTCAAGTCTGATATCTGAACCAGGAAAGAAACATCTGAATTTGTTCACACAATTTCAAAAGACTTTTCACTTTAACTTTAGGAGTAAATAAAATAAATTGCTTTGTGCTATTCTAATTGTAGGATTGTTTACTTATCAAACACTTACCAACTTCGATTGTAAATATTTATTTATTAATACTTTAAAATTCCATTAGTGCTTGAAACAACTAAATTTTCTCCTCTCTTTGCTAAATAATTGAATTGTTTGCAATGACTTTACTACAGCTTGCAATCAGGCCATACACACTTTTCATCTGACATTTGGAATACAGAGATGAAAGTGAGGCAAGAATCACCTATTTAAACCCTGGTTAACATTCTTTATTTATATCAGCCTTCCCAAGGAAATCTGAAGGTTTGTTGGTCGATAACCCACTCTTTTCACCTACCTTTCCCACTCATTTGCTGCTTCCCAGGAGACTTTACAGAGTGCTTCTCCAGAGGCACATCATGTTTAGACCCTCTGATGTGGAAGCAGACATGGTTTTTGGTTTGCACTCAGCTATCACTGTCCAAACAGACTGGTGTACATGTGAATTGTGAGGAGAAATATGCTCTATTTTACTTCTGTGTTAGAAAAACTGAAAGTGAACACTTTTATTCTTAGAATATGAAAGAAAAAAACTCATTGTGGAAACAATTCTGGCTTTCTATATTAAGCCTATATTTAAGATATCATGTCAAGGGTATAGGAATAGTTTTTTCTAACCATAAGCAATTACATCTTACTAAGTATGGGAACTGCGTTCTGGGATCTGAATTTTATTATCTGAAGCTTTTCTTGCTTATGTTTTTGTCCAAAACGAATGTACTACTTTTGGACACATTTTACCCCTGTGTTAGAAAAACCGAAGATAAATTATTTTGTTCTTAATCTAGATCACCTGTCTGAAGGGGAAAGGAAAAAAAAAAAAGGAAGAAAACTTTGTTTTCTTTGCTTTCTCTTCTCTCCTGTACCTATTTGGGGAAAAACCCTCATACCATTTTTTATACCATTTATGGATGGTATAAAAAATACACTGAAGAAAGGTTTCCAGGAGTACTTTCCAAGGCACGGTCCTTTAATGCTGAAAGCAAGAGCATAAAAGTGGGGAAGGGAAAGGAGAAGGGAAGGGAAAAGAAAAAGAGGGGAAAAAAAGGTGTGTGTGGGGGGGGAGGGGTGTCTTTTATTGCTTTTTTGGGGGTACTTTTCGCCGTCAGAGGAGCCGGAGCGCCGCTGTTGGCATCCTGCCCAGCCCAGCCGCGAGTGGTGCGGCCCAGCGCGGCTGCCCCGTTGCCGAGCGACCGCCGCGGGGCCGCCGTGAGGGCAGGGTCGGGCCGGGCCAGACCAGGCCGCGGGGCTCCGGGTGGGCTGGCAGGGGCAGCCGGGCCGTGCCGGGGCTCCGGGAGGGCTGGCAGGGAAAACCGGGCTGTGCCGGGGCTCCGTGAGGGCTGACAGGGACAGCCGGGCCGTGCCGGGGCTCCGTGAGGGCTGACAGGGACAGCCGTGCCGTGCCGGGGCTCTGGGAGGGCTGACAGGGACAGCCGGGCTCTGCCGGGGCTCGGGGAGGGCTGACAGGGACAGCCGGGCTCTGCCGGGGCTCGGGGAGGGCTGACAGGGACAGCCGGGCTCTGCCGGGGCTCCGGGAGGGCTGACAGGGAAAACCGGGCTGTGCCGGAGCTCTCTCGGGCTGGGGGCCGTGGCAGCGGCAGGTACGGGTTGTGCACAGCGATGCCTTTTCCAGCCTCTCGCAGCTGTAATGGGCGTCCTTCGGTGTGGTGAGGTGTGCGAGGAGCTCCGACACGCAATAAGGGATTAGAAAGCCCGAGCGCTGGCAAGGAGGAGGTGATAACCTGGTCTGAGGGCGTTTGGGGCGAGTTTTGTCATGGGCTCCCAGGGTTTCACACTTCTACACACACACACACACAAAGTCTTGAAAGACACAGGTGGAAAATTTAAGAACATCAGGTATTGTGTCATTCCAGGACCTTAAGGATTTGTCCTGTATTAGCCCTTTGAGCAACACGCAGTGTGTTATTGAAGTTGGTGAGTCATGATGGCACCATCACTTTAAGTTACTGAAGAGGTTATACCAGGAATCCTTTGAGGAGACTTATGTCTGCCTACACCTTTTCCAACCTTGCGTTCCTGAGGTGGAATGCTGACCAGGAGAAGGAGGGTGGCAATGGTGTAAATTAAAGTTGAAGAACACAAGTGGAAAAAATGTAAGCTTGATCCTTATGTTTAGAAATCTTTTGCAGTGTTTTTTGTCTGAGTTTGGTCTTGCTACATCAGAAGGAATTTACTGTTGTGCACAATAATGCAGCTCCTCTTGCAGGTTTTCTGTTGTGAGTGGAAAATTTGTGCTTGGTGTTATTGAGTGGAAAATATTATGAAGGCCAGGGTCCTAGCAGCACATTATTTTAAGCTTCTTGCTTATTTATTATTTAAAACTGTACAAAACCATAAATCAAAACAGCACTTTATGAGCTTGAAGCACCTCTCAAGTTGTGCCTGAAAGATCTAAAGCAGACTGGAAAATCAGACAAATACCAGAGATGAGACCATGAAATGTAATGGGGGAGGTGGAGTAATGATTCCACTTCAAAACTGTTGAGTGCTGCCTGCTTGAGGGCTGAAAATCCCAGCACAGCTTTTGAATTCAGTATTTGTTCCAAAAGTATTGTGTCTTTGTCTCCATACAGTTCTCCAGTTCATACTAGAGCCAAGGGCTCTGTGTGCTCTATTTATGAAGATAATTTCTGGTGGATGGTTCATGCCTGGTGTCTTTATTATGTAAAATTTGCACTTGTCATTAGAGAAGTTTATGTTCTGATAACTCTATATACTTAACTCAGGATCTCT